TTAAAAAGCCTAATCTAGGATGCAAATTTCACATAACCTTCTCCTAAACTGTGATTTTATACTAACATAAAGCCAGTAAGAAAGCAGACTCAGATGTCTTAGTATTTGCTGTGTGAGTGAAATCAGACTTGTGAAAACAGTATTTCTGAAGTTTTATGCTGTGCTGACAAGAGCACTGGCTGGATTTTAACCCACAGTTTGACAGTAGAGACAGTTAACTACTAGATACCAAATGACAAGAGGCTTAGCACTTAATGAGTAATCAACATGTATGCCCTTGTACTGTTACGAAAGCATGACAAAGTGCGTAAGCTGAAAACGTACTGTCTGAATGTATAAAAACTGTATATTAGTCTCTCAAAGTAATGGCCAAATAAAGGTCTCCACAACATCAAAACTGTTATTCAGCTTTTACAGAAAGCTGAAGAATCCACAAGAAACTGGGCATCATTTGGTTTCAATTAAGCTGCTCTCTAGTTTCAACCTCAAGTGACTCAGAAGGCCCTCCCTCTTCTTCACACCTTCGGTGCAATAATGAATCAAGATAAGTTTCTGAAGTTGAAAAATGCACAGGACAGTTTTGTGACCATTCTCTTCATATCTAGTGTTGCCTGACTTCCTAGAATCTTCTCAGACAAACGACTTTCTCTTTGGCTATATACAAAATAACTTTTCTGACTAACATATATGCAAGATGTTACCTTGCATGTTTCAATGGGGAAACAGTGAAATTAGGGATGCTAAATTGGAAAGCTGATCTTCCTTAGAAAAGGCCAATACTTCGATTTCAAGACCATAATCTCAGACTTCAATATTTTGCTCACTGATTCTTAAAACAGTATAGATTTATGCAGAGGTAAAATAAGTCAAAAGAAGACTTATGGAGACAGACAAGATACTGAAAGAAAGCCACAGATTCTTATTTATCTTTTTTTTTGAATTTATCAGATTCAAAAAACTCCAAAAGCCTTCCCTAGTCCTCCCTCAACTCAAATGGAAAGCTGCTAAATTCTTACCATAAGGATTTAAGATATATATTTTTTTTAATTTATGGTGTAAAGGGTCATTTAGTAAATTCCAACCTTGCAGACAGAGCAACTTCCTACGGGATCATATTGTAAATCAGACCTCTGTAACAAAGAGTGGTTAGTTTGTTTTTCCCAAACTTTTCCTGTAGTTATTTTTAATCATTTCAATTACCTGACTTACAGCACAAATTAATAGTAGTATCAGCACAGCTAATAGTGAAAGCATACAGAAGCATGGGATCTTCCCCCCAACAGGCAGAAAACGAATCATTATTTTGTAGAGCTCATTTTCTGACTCACTGAACAGACAGCAGTTCTGCAGTTGTGAAAAGTAGGTGGGAGGAAGGGGAGGGGCAGGACTAACCCTTTTGCTGATAAACAGTATCTAGATTAGCTTATCTGTAATGTGACACGTGCAAGAAATATTGCATTCTGTCACTAAGCATCTTCACCATGCATTCACAAAAACGAATCCTTTGTTTAGGAAAGTAAACACAGTTACTTTCTGTGGCTTACTTAAACACAAAGGAAACTATAGTCATGCAGGTGAAAAAAAATAAAATCACCTATTCTGGCTGGTTGGCCACATGCATGTTTCACACATGCATGTTATAACACTTAGTCAAATTGCACATTTGTATGAAAATATGGAAGAAAATATAATGAACTATATGCAGAGAATTAGTATGTACTCACTATGAGGCTTCTCTTAAGAGGGAATTTTAGAAAAAGTTACCTGTCTAGGATAAAAAGAACATGAACTGACCACAATAATCTCTGAAAGACACCATGATTATATATTTATATACATGATACAGATTGGGAAAAAATATTAGAAGTGCACACGTTCCTTTATTCAGTGCAAATAACCCCTTATAAATCATTTAAAAGGATCTATACTACATGTTACAGAGGAGCACATTACAGCTCCAAGGAACACAATCTGAAGAAGGTAGTGAGGAAAAAAGGTGTAAGCATGCTCCCAGCCAAGCTTTATTTGGGAGCTTTTAAAAAAACATCTTCCCCTTGGTGAAGAAAGGTGAAATAACATTATTTCTTTACCTGTATGGTTACTGATCAACTCACTTTCTCCAGTTTAAGAAAAATTAAAAATTCTTAAAATATACACAGCATATATATACAACATACACTTTACACATGAGTCCTAACTGCATCCTGGACAAAATTATTTCTCACATTAACTGTGTCAGCAAAGAACTTAATTAACTGATAGAATATTTAGTGCTTTTAGACAATAAAAGGCATATTTTCCCACCAGGACAATATGAATCCTCCCCAAACCAACCTCCTGATAGTTAAGCAACCTGATAGATTACTTTAAGCACATACCATTAGCATCCAACAACAAAACTATTGACTTTTTTTCTTTTATCCTTGTTAACACAAAATGCTGTGCTTAGGGAATTCATAGAGATAGTTACTTCCCCAGAGTAAATAGACTGGTAATAAGTGAGCTTCCTCTCTGAGAAAATCAGAAGGAGGCAGGCCTGTTGTTTGTTAGTTTTTCCTTTTTTTTTTTTTTTTTTTCTCATGAATAAATGATAAATTAAAAAAAAAAATCACATACAGGCAATTTGGATATGTAGAAACATTTCTGTTCAGAAATATCACATGTGGGTATTCATGTAAAATGTCATTTAAGACTAGAAGAAAACACAAGTGAAAACGAGTATCTCAGTAAACTGCAAATCTCAGTACTCATATCTTTCTCCACAGCAAGTTTATTTCATAAAAGAAAAATACTACACCTACACATTAATACAATTGCTCACTATTAAATTACTGGCAAATCATGTTAATGATTTTACTTCTGTTGCAATTAGTTGCTGTTTCAATTCTCATTAAATTACATACATATTTACGAAGTCACAGATGTCATCTGAAACTACTTCAGCAATCTCCACAGTGCACTGCTGCCATACTTTGTATATTTCCTTTTTTTGTTGCGTTTTAATCTTCTGAAGTTAGTGACTGGACCTTCCCACCTTTCTCTTTTTTTATTTTTACTTTTTAAAGAAAGTAGACCCTTAAAATTGTTTGGGACACCTGTCCATTTTAGTATGAGAGACGAAAACTTTTTCTTTGTAGAGTAGAATAGAAGAAAACTCACAGAAGACCAGCCAGGTAACTTCATTTACAAAGCCTTCTGCCTGTAAACATCGAAACATTCATCCAGCTCTATCTGAAGGTTGATGGACAAAATAAAGACAGTATGAAACATCATATAAATGAAGATTTGAAAATTACTTTCTAAAAATATATGCCTTACCATGAAATACATTTGTCACAATTTAGACAACTACAACACCAAGAGTTACATTAGTTAGTTGCCTAAAAGGATGACTAAGCTAATACATGTGTCCTACGGTGTACATCTTATACTCTAGGGTGAATGAATTACGCCAAGGAAGTGCCTGATTCTCTTCAGCAAGTTAGAAGTGATCTAGAGAACTATCTCCGGTCTGCAATATAAATCTCTACATTTATATGAGCTTATTCTCACCTCATCATCTTGCAGCTGCATTAATTTCCTCTCTTAAAGCTCTTTAACAAAGAGGAAATTCATAACAGATATGTAATGTAAAGTACAGAAGACTTACAATTAAGAACATAATTACTACCATTAAACAACAAATCAGCAAAGGTTATCATGTCAATGCATAACCATGGTTGTTCCAAAGTACTGACATTCCAAGTAGTATTAACAGTTGAATTTTCCAACCCTATCTTATTAACTTCAAGAACTTCAGGCAAAATAAAGTGTGAGTTAAATGCGCTACAGAAAAAGGCCAGTAAGGGAGTATTCTAACCCTTTCACTTCTTGTGAATAGTCCAGAATAATATCATTGAAGTTTGAGACAGAGAGATTCCACAAACCCTTTGTTGAGAATCCAGTATATCTTCCAAGGTAACTACAGCTTTGAAGATATGTTCTAGCTACGGAAGTTACTTGGACAAAGCACGTCAAGACAAGAATGTCAGTTCTGAAATCTCAGTTTCCTCATTAATTGGTAAAGACGACCTTCATAACAAAACCACCCTAGACAGAGTTGCTGAAGTTATCACATCAATTTCACTTTTTACTTCTGTCAAAACCTCTGGATCTAAAAGAACATGGAATAGCATAAGTAGGTCAGCCTAGCAGTAGATAGCTATGCTATCAGGAATATTTTTAATAGAAAGTAAGTCACAAAATCTTTGGTGCTATCTACTGATGTCCAAAGTCTTATCCAATGAGAATCCTATCTCAGAGAACAAAGGCAATTACTGTCCTAACTCATTTTACTTAATACTGACGGTTTATGACTGAACTCAGTATTTCTGACGCTTTATGCTATAACAGGACTAAAACAACGCAGACTATTTTATAAAGACTGAAAGACAAGAAATGGCAATCATTTTATTTATCATTCTCTAGAGAAACACAAATAGCTTCATCTTAAGTTAGGTATTTCTACCAGCACCTTTGCAAAACTCTTTGATACAGGAAAGAAAATAAAGGAAAGTAGCTTATATTGGTGCAGTTTTAAATGAGACTGAATGAAGTACTGCAAGATTCTCCAGTCACCGGGGACTTCACCAGACAGCCCATGCTTTTTCAAATATGATGGAGGGCGGCTCGGCAACCACATCAGCCATCTCTTTCAGAACCCATCCGGCCCCATGGACTTATACACATTCAATTTCATGAGGAGGTCTTGGACTTGTTTCACTGTTACAGTGAGACAAAAGCCACTCCCTACACTCTCACCTAGAGGCTCACAGTCCTCATGGTGAACTTTCTCTTCGGACAGCCACAAAGACAATTTTTACATATATATATATAAAATTGACCTCTATAACAACAAAGGTTTCTAAAGATAAAAAAACATATTCAATACAAGAAAATCTATTTTATACTTGCTGTGAATGCCAGAAGTTTCTATTATGGCAGAGCACTTATTTAATTACCTTCTGTGCAGCAAGATGGAGAGCAGTTCTTCGGCTACGATCAGCCCTGTTAACATCTGCTCCAGCTTTCAGCAATGCCTCTGCACAGTCTACCCTGTCAGCCAACACACAGTACATAAGTGGAGTTCTTCCAAATTGGTCCTCTTTGTCTTTCAGCTCAGAGTTTCCTAAAATAATAACAACAACAACAAATTATATAGAATAATTAATTCTGTGATTAAAAGCATTATGATTTTATTAATGGGTACTTTTAATATAAACAGAGTGATCAAAATAATGGAACATCACATAAAAATCAACATTACTACTTTTTACTCTGTTTTTACTGTCACTTAGAGGACATTTTTTTTCCATTCCAATGATCAGATCATTTTTGCGGCCCTCCTCTGGATGCACAACAAGTCCATGACTCTCCTGTACTGAGGACTCCACATCTGGATACAGCACTCCCAGAGAGGTCTCACCAGCGCAGAGCAGAGGAGCAGGATCATCTCCCTCCACCTGCTGGCCATGTTTCTTTTGATGCAGTCCAGGATATGGTTGGATTTCTGGGATGCAAGAACACGCACACTGCTGACTCACGTTCAGCTTACCATTTACCAGTACCCCCAAGCCCTTTTTGGCAGGGCTGTGCTAAATCCTTACATCCCCCAGCTTGTGTTGCTAGTGAAGGGTGTGGTAGCCAGGTGAAAGACCTTGCACTTGGCCTTGTTGAATCTCATGAGGTTCACCTGGGCCCACTGCTAAAGTCTGTCTAGATCTCTCTGGATGGCATCTTGTACCATCGTTGGCATCTCGTGCATATTGATTGCACCACATAGCTTGGTGTCATTTGTAAACTTGCTGAAGGCATACAATCCCACTGTGGGTGAAAGCCATCAATTAAGATATTAAACAGCACTGGTCCCAGAACTGACCCCGAGGGACACTATTTGTCACTGACCTTCATCCACACATTGAGCCACTGACCACTGCTCTCTGAGTACAATCTTGTAACCAATTCCCCATTCATCAAACAGTTCACTTGTAAAATCCATATGTTTCCAATTTGAAAAGAAGGATGTTATAGGAGATTTACTGATTCCATGAACCTTACCTGTATCCACCTGAATTCTTTTATCTGTATCCATCTTCCTCAGATAAAGCTATGTTTTTTGAAGTACACCTGCTTGCTTTCAGCAGCAACTTTCACACTGCTGATGAGCCATGTTTGCTTCCCATTGATCTTTCTACACTTATTCTTTTGATGAATGCTTTTGCACCTGCTTTCACACTGCAAACAAGGAGCTTACTTTTAAGACTCATCTTCAGATTCTCTTCCATAAGTGCTTTTATTCTAATAGCCTTCAGTTGTAGAGTTCACAACTGTGTAAGGCTGGTGATGCATAAGAGAGTTACAAAATCTCTCTTTGCAGCATTCTGATACAGACTGTACCAATGTACCCACTCAAGAGCTGATCCTCTCATGGATTTAACAAAATCTCACCTGTCAATCCCTTACTTACTTCTAACAATTACATTTCAGGATCTGATCCTCAATATGCCATTTACCCAAGACACAAGAGCAACCTTTAGTACTACTGTGATTGATTAGATGGACAACAACAGAATATTAAATGGATTTTTTCACGCTCCCTCTCACGCTCACGCTCCCGATCTCGTTCCCGCTCTGACGATCCCGACTGTTTGGTCAAGTGCGTGGGACCTCCTGGGGAGAGCGGAGAGCTGCTGTGCCGGCTGCTGAAGGTCTGGGGGGGGCCGGGAATGTAGGTGATGCGGTCCATGGAGGTGGCAGAGGTGCCAGGGGTGGGGGGCACGAGGACAGGCAGGTGTGGCACTTGGGACAGGTCAATGATTCCTGCTGCATAGTTGAGGGCGAGCGAGGGCTCACGGGGCGACAAGCCACGCAGCATGTCTGCCCGCTGCGCCATGGCCGTGGCTGCGGCGTTGTGGTGCATCTGCTGCGACGTGATGTAGTCGTTGATGATGGTCTGTCGGTTCTCCATGGCGGCCGTGTCCGTGTACCCCCGGATGAGATACGGGGGGTAGAGGTGGGGGTACGTGGGGCTCGGAGCCAGATGTCTCGGCAGGTAGTAAGCAGCGGCTGCTTCCAGTTGGATTCCCCTCGGGATGGCAGCAGGGTCAAAAGCCAGCGGGATGTGTCCTCGGTACAAATCAAGCCCGCTCACACCACGCAGCAGGTGCTCGCAGGGGGAGATGGGGTGGTGGTGGTCAGGCACAGGGGCATGTGGAGACTTGGAGTTGGTGAGCTCTTTCGATGTGGGGGTGATTTTTCTGTCCTGGGACACTGGCTTCCCAGCAGTGATGCTCCCTTCATGCTGCCATGGCGTGGATTCCCTTGTGGAGACCGGAGACCCTCTGTGCAAGTGGCTGCTGAATGCCGTGCTGTGCCCAGCCTGGTGGTCCTCGTAGGCGAGGGCACTCTGGTGGGGCTTTCCTGGCTCAGGTACAATCACAGGAGCTCCTCTGGCAATTGAGCCACCCAAGTTGGTCACTGGGCTCGGCCTGCTTTTCAGGCTTTCTTCGTAAGCTCTCTCCAGATTCCTTGGGTCTTGTATGACATCCATTGAGTGCACAGAGTGAAAAGTCCTCCCAGGGCTGCCTATGATGGACCGCACATCGTGCTTTTTGGTACTCGATGAGGAAGAGCCGCTGTCGTATTTCAGTGGGGTACCCTGTGTGATGGAGCCTTCCTTCAGAGGCCTCGTCAGAGAGATGTCTGGTGTCCACCTCAGCTCCTCTCGGGGGATCTCATGGATTGACCTCCCTGCTTCCTTCACTGTGGCCACCAGGCCTTCGTGGGCTGGCTTCATTTTCAGGGGAGTAAGGCCCTTGTGAGACCTGACCTTGTACGCATCGGATAAGTCCCGTGGTGGAGTGTTTTCCCTCTTGAGCTGTTTGGCTTCTCTTCTGAGGTAGTCCTCATGGGCCTCCACGTAGGACCGAGGTATTCCTTGTGTGATGGAGCCCCGGATGTGGTGCTGCTCCTTCAGGTTATGGGGACTGTGTCGGTCTGGAGGGATGGCTCGACCCATGAGACCTTCAATGCTGGCAGACAGCAGATCCCGGGACGACAAGCCACGGCTGATCCTCCCCTCCATCATATCGTAGGTCCGCTTGGTTCCCGTGGGCTCATGTGAAGCTCCTGAGCTCCTGCTGTCTTCTTTGGGACACTGAGAAGCAGCAACTCCACCATCGTAGGACAGCACGTGGCCTTTCTTCCCCTCGTAAATGACATGTCCTTTTGGCATGGCATCCTCTCTCACTTTCTCCACTCTGCTGGGGCTGTCTTCTCCGATTATCCTGGTAATGGTTCCTTTGTACAGCACTTCTGCTGGGGTGCCATGTGTGATGGAGCCTCGGTACGTGATGGGCGACTCTGGAGGGGGTCTGGATGTGGGTGTCCCCTTGGTGATGCTCCCTCCTGAGGCAGAGCTGAGGGATGTACCCCGCAGGACGGAGCCCTCTGGGGCCGGCTGCATCACCAGGCTTTCAGGCTGGCTGGCCTGGCTTCTGGGAGAGAGTTGTTCCTGCTTTACTCCAGGAAAAGGCACCAGTTTCTTGGGATCCATTGTCAGGGGCAGGCCCATGGTGATGGAGCCGACGGGAACTTTTGCGTGCTCGGAGCTGTAGGGTGTGTGGAGCTGGATGGGCATTCCCTGGGAGATGGAGCCGACAGGTCTCTCCAGCACAGAGGGATGCTTGGTGGAGGAGATGAGAGGAGGAGGGTTGGAGATGCCCGCCAGCCTCTGCAGCCCCCGAGCGGGAGCTCTCGTGCAGGTTGAGCGGGATAGGGTGACCTGGTGGGTTACACTGGAACAGGTGAGGCTCTGCTTGGGGAGAGGTTTTTATCACATCCCGGGAGTAGGACAGGACGGGGGGCCAGCACGAGGTGGGCGGCGGCTCCGTGCCCAGCTTCTGAGCCTCTGCGAGGGATGGGAAATGCACGGATTTTTCTTCCTTGTCCCCGGCAGTGGGGCTCCTGCTCTTCCCCCTCGGGCTGCTGCTTGGCTGCTGCTGCTCCTTCTCCTGCTGCTTGCTGGGGGGCACATCCTCACGGGAGGACTCGTGGGCCTTTGTGATCTGCTGCTGGTAGAGAGCCAAGGCGTGGGGAGGCACCGGGGGCTTCACGCTTCCGCTCTGCAGTATCCCCTCTGAGAATCCTTTGGAAATGATGGGAGGGATGGCAGCAGCGCGCTGCTTCAGCTGCTTCAGGTCCAGCGGTTTCTGTGGCGAGGAGTTCAGCCTGGCCTCGCTGGCGGCATTGAGCAGGCTGGGCCGGGGGGACAGCAACCTGCTCTTGTCCACGGCATCCTGCTCGTCCATCTCATCGGCGCTGCAGGTCGCGCTCGAGTCGCTGTCGGGGTTCACCCCTTGGCCTTTGCTGCCTTTATGGCCCTCCTTCTTCTCGGCCTTGGGCGTCCCCTCAGCCTCCGCCGTCCCCACACTGCCGACGCCACTTTCTGCCTTATTGTCATTCCCCTTGTCCTTCTCCTGGCTGTCCTCGCCCTCCTCCTTCACCTCGCTCTTGCAGGGCTCCTCGCTCGCCTTCTCCCCCGGCTCCTCCGTTTTCAGCACGTCTACCACCAGCTCCTCCTGCGCCTTCTCCTCGCTGCCGGGCGCTTTGGGGGCCTCCAGAGGAGGGCTGGCGGTGGGAGTGGGGTTGGTGGCGGGGGCAGTGGGGGCCGCAGTGGTGTCGGGGGGTGTGGGAGCCTCTTCCAACTTGAGCGCCGGTTCCGTGCCGGAGTCACCTCCCGGCCCGGGCGGTGCCTTGGCCCCGTTTTCGCCTCCCTCTTTGGCTTCAGGCCTTGGCGAGGGAATGCTCTCGGTGTCGGAGCTGTTATTTACTGCAGCTTCGGCCTCCTCGGCCATCTCCTCCTCGTTGCCACTCGTTCCCGACACCTCCATCTCCTCATCCTCAGCCACAGGAGGGAAGGCAGCTTCCTCGTTCTGAGTGGCGGTGCCTTTTTTCTTCTTTCTCTTAGCATTTCTTTCTTTCTCCATTTTCAGTTTGTGCTGCTGTAGGATCTCATCCAGGTTCTGCCTCTTCTTGTAGTTGAAGTAGAAGTTCTTGCACTGCTGTAGGAAACCTGCTTTGGCAGGGGGGTCGGACTCGATGATCTCTGGAGGTCCCTTCCAACCCCTA